CTTCCTCAGATCCCCAGTCGCACTCTGCTCGTCTGCCAGCACTGGATATCAGCCATGTAAATCCTAATAGGCATAAAGCAGCCCCTGAGATTAAGCACCTTTACCTCTTCAGAGCTCTTAAATTTCATATATGAAAACAACTTCAGAAAGCAAAATCAATGGCATTTACCAGCCATCCTGGAGTAAGATATTTCAGGAAATGCTATAGCTAGACCTTGATCTTTAGCCACGTGAAGACCCTCACGTTTATTTAATTGAAACAAAAGAATGCTTAAGACATCCTCAGTTATCAGTGTTCTTTTAAAATAGCAAAACTTGCAGTTTGAATAGGGAAAGTTAAAGTTGTTTTTCTAAAACTATTCAGTTCCTTATACTATGATGCAGTATGGTTGCACTGCAGCGCTGCTTTCAAATGATTACTTACATGTTCCAATTCAGTCAAAGAAAAAGAAGAAAAAATGAATCAAGAGTAGAATTAGGCATTCTTATAAGCAAGTCATTCTTATCAGTCATAAATATAAAAAAAAACAAATAGCATACATAATGTGTCACCAAATGCACTACCTATTAGTGCGCTTGCATACCTGAAGGGAGGGAGAAAAGATGACAGGCTCTTTCCAGTAGTGTCCAATGACAGAACAAGAGGCAGTGGGCACAAACTGTAACATGGGTGGTTTCCTACAAACATCAGGAAACCCTTCTTTACTGTATGGGTGTCAAAACACTGTCACAGGCTGTGGAGTATCCTTCCCAGGAGGTCTTCACAAGCTGCCTGGATGTGACTCTGGGCAGCTTGAGATAGGTGGCCCTGCTTGAGCAGGTGTCCTCCAGAAGTACTGTCCAACATCAACTGTGCCATGATTTTACAACCATCACACAATCAGGCATGGTTGCATCTCAAGTATCAGAGGAACTGGCTTATGGGTGAAAGCATACAAAAATAAACTGGCATTAAAGAAAGACTTCTCCCTGAAATAGCATTGAGAATACACAGACATACACATTTTTATTTACTAACAAAACTCAACTATTTCATCTGATTTGAAGATTAGCTAGGACATTTACTAACAGCTTGCGTCAATCACACATTCTTAAAAGTTGATCACTACATACAGCTGGCTTTTAATTTTCAATAGGTTTTGTAAATTAATGCTTATGCTCTTCAAAAGTCAGACTAGTGAGCACTCAACACACAGCAGCATCGTGCACACGCTACTTCGTAATTAGCGGGTCAATTACACCTACAACACAGGCTTATGCATTTTAAGAACCATTTGTAATGCCAGACCTTATATTAGAACCTAATAACTCCAAACACCCATGGACTGACACATCAAAATATGAGTGTACGATGTCAATTTTCACAAGAATGTCAAGAAGAATGTTTGAAGAATGGTTACAAAAATGAAGAAAATGATGCAATATTTTAACAGAAAGGCTTTGGAAACCCTAACAAGGAGGTAGAGAAACTATCAACATTATCAACATTTTGTCTGGTTGTTTGTTTTTAAATGCTTTGGCAAATACATGCAACAGGAATATTGTGAGTCAAGTAATCATTTCTTGAAAAAAAATGGTGTCAGAAATTCCACACTTTTTATTTAAGCTCATCATCCTCAACAAAATCCTGAACATTTTTGTGCAGAGACATCAGTTCTGCTTTCCCTTTCTTTTTTTTTCCTTGCAGTTTTTACGATAAGAGTAGTGAGACACGGGAACAGGTTTCCAGAGAGGTGGTTGTTGGCAGAACCTCAGACATTCAAGGTGAGCATGGCCAGGGTTCTGAGCAACCTGATCAAGCTGTAGGTGTCTCTGATCACTGTACAGCAGTCTGGGTGAGCTTTAAAGGTCCCTTCCAACTCAAATGATTCTATGATTCTAATTCATTCCCTATCCTTCCCTAATGCTAACTTTTCAGTTTCCTATCAATGAATCAAGAGAAAATTAATGGGCATTAATAACTAAAGAGCAGTGAACAGCCTTGGATTTCACATAACTCCATTATACTGTGTTAAGACATCATGCCCAATCTTAGTGATCTAAAAAAAAAAAAAAAACAAAAAAAAAAAACAACCAAATGAAACCACTGAAAATTTTACACTTTCCTCTTCTTTTTATCTGCACATTTTTACAAGGAAAATATGGGAACGAGTGCATTGCATACAGACATCTGGAGAGTACAGAAAACAACGTTGTAAAGGCGATACTGGCTGTATTAGAAATTCTATTCTATTAGAAATTTGTACTCCAAAACCAACGTCATATTTTGTAGCACAGTTGCTGTCTCCTGCCAAAAGATAGCCTCTCCTCAAAAAAATAACAACAAAGCCACCAAAAAAACCCACAAACATTGCTAGCATGTGAGAAGATGGTCACAAGTATGGACTTGAAGATCTACAGTTACTGGTACATCTTGGATGTCAAACTTCACTGAAGAAATAACTTCCCCTTGGTTTCTCACTTGGGTGCCTCAGACACTAATTCTCAACTCACAAGATTATCTCACACTTCACTAGCTCTGTACCTCAGGGTCATCATCTATGAACTCTTTCTGCACTTCACAAATACACTATAGGGAACAGAACTGTCTTAAAAGATAAACAACAAAAAAGCTATAAAAGACCAGAGCCATTTTCATCCAGTAGCTACTGCTTTCTTTATACTTCAGACTTACTTTCCCAAATTTTACTTTAAGCATTATTCAGGGAAAATACAGATAAGACGCCTATAAAATAGTTTATTTTTTCCTATTCTTGAGATAGTTTCACAAGTCCTTGGAAGGTCAGGAAATGCACATGTGATCATTAGACCATGCACCTAAAAGAACTCATGCTGTGAGTACATATAAGGACTTCTCCAAAATTAATGCCTCCTGTTTTATTACTTCAGCCTATGAAGTGAGTCAGATGCTGACGATATGGCTGTAGACGCTGAACTTTCCCACCAGTATTACAAAACATGAGACAGATGGCAGCAGAAGGGCACTCTGCAAAATCGTGTCTGACATGGAAGTGCAGGTGAAGCAAAGGCGTGGAATTCAATTCCCCCACATGCAAAATCTACATTCATTGATGCTTGCTGAACACTTTGTGAAACCAGAGTATGTGAGTGTAATTAGGAGGCGGGTGGTGCACCTCAGCAGTGCTGTGACAATGAATCACCTCCACTGGTGCAGATTTTTATGAGAACAACTCCTGCTCGTTGCTGCTGAAAACGCATCGCTAATGATGAGGACTGTGCTGAAAAATAGTATTGCGCAACTGAAAAATTTCTCTCCCAAATAGCACCATTGTGCTGTTTTTATCTGTTGTAGTGGAACAACACTTCCAACAACTATTTCCACTTCCGTGGAAATAAATGAGGCATTATTTTCAGAGTGACCTATGTACCGTATGTATCTTCATACACTCAAGCAAATGTACATTGACATTGAACAGTGTCAACAGTTCACGGGCTGGTTCAGCCCAGTTCCATGACTAGCAGGGCGGAGGGATCCGCAGATCTGTGCCTCCAGAAAAAGGGAACAGGGGACCCCAAAATAATTAAAAAAACAGTGGCAACAATCTGAGGAGAAACAAACTAATTCACTAAATATATTATCGGAATGCAAGATAACACACTATAATACAATATAATTAGAATTGAAGCTAGTAAATCAAATATAATGAGAGAGAAGATGTCCAAAAGGTGGATAGGCCTCACCACAACGCTGAGGTGAGATGCGCGGTCCAGTTGAGCAGCAGGGAGATGGGAGGAGAGCTGATGAGAAAGAGCAGGCGAAGAAGAATGTATCAGGTGACCTTGCCAGGAGTTCTATCTCCTCTCTGTGACCACAAAGTCCCCTGGGGAATGTAGTTGTTGTTCTCTTCCAGGCAGGTACCCAGAACTTGAGCATTAACAGTTAAACTCCCAGTGCCCCACATGATGTTGTGATGTGGAATACCGAAAACCAAAAATCACAAAACCATGACAAACAGCCTATGCTCTGGTGATGCTCAAATACATAGACGATTAAGACTTAATATGTAAATATTATTTCTAAAGATTGTGACTTGCTATACTAATACAGTTTCCTTGCATTCCCCTACTGACAGAGCAGTGCACTACAGTTAACCACACTGAAGTAGGACAGAAGCTTATAAGTTGGCTGCTTGTTCTCAGCATAAGACCTCACTGTCATCCTCCCATTTATTCAACAGCTGTGAAAGCAAAGAACTTCTCAGCCCATTGACACAATGAACACTTTTCAGATTTTTTTTAAAAGTCAATATCTGTGCATCAAACAGAAATCTCCTGTTTAGCCTCAGCTATTCAGTACCTGAAGTATCTGAACTCCCTACGAGGCTGGCAAAGCTCCTCTGCATAAAAACTGCAAGGCACTATAACACAGAGTCAACTGATTAAGAGACCTGAATTTTCAGAGCCATTGTCATGATTTAGCTAGAATTAGGAGTTATTCAGAGCTCATTCTCACACAGGAATTCAATCATCTACATACTTTCATTTATACACAAATACTTGATTCTTCATTTTAGTTGAGAATTTGTGACTATTTTTTTTACTAGAAAAAAACAACAGCCTGATTTGCTGAAATGTAAAATTCCTAAATTTAAAAAAACCTCTTCCATTCCATTCTTAGTAAGGGAAGGAACACTGGTATGGATCTGTGCTGAACATAGGAAAACTGAACTCAGTTCCAAAATAATTACTAGCCTAGTTACAAAATAACATATGAAATCTTTATAAAAATTCCTGAGATGTCCCATTTTCCAGGGGAGATCTCCAGCTCTAAAGTATCAGTTTTTCAGAGATTTTTTCTGGTTTTATTATATTTATTCCAAAATTACAAAAAACTACCTTGCATACATGTACAAGCACTATGTTCAAAGATTAGAATCACTCTCAGTTATTACATGACTTTCATTAAGAGCTCCTTACACTGCTCTTTCCCATGTCAGTGATCACCTCTTCTTGACATCAAAACATGAATTTTTGAGCTTCTATGGCAAAAAGTCATTCTATTTTGCTAATGATTTTTAAAGCAACTAAAAAGCTTAAAATAACATAAAGTATTCCGGGAAACACACAGATGTGTTAACACATGTGAATGCACAGCCAAGGTTTTCTTTTTATTTCAAAAGCCAAACCCCTTAAATGGAAGAGAAATTCCATGATCCAACTGAATCGGATACATTTTGGCAGTGGAACAGAGCTGATTTATTATTGCATTTTTAATAAAAGGTAAGGCATCAGAAACATAGTTTTTAAATAATGTTTTCACAGAAAAGGCTTCATTGCAAACACTTGTGGACTTTCATTTTCAGTGATATTTCATCTCTCCCAGGAATATCACTTTCTCTGCTGTTAACTGACTGGTGTCTCCACTTTCCAAATTACCATATTCTCTTGCAAAATATCTCACATCACCAGTGCTGCCAACAGACAGAAAATTTTTTGTCGATAACGTGTGTAAAAGAAACAAGTATACCAAATTCTACATGCTCAGTTCCATTCTCTGTTTTTAAGAGGAAAGTTCTGGGTTTTTTTTTATTATTATTTAATTTCCTACAATAAACATGTTCATATTTCCATTTGACTACAAAGTCTATTAAGTGCTTTTATTTACTTTTGCTCCTTTCAAATAAGGGGAGATCCTTCAGAAGCATTCATTCTTTTGTCACTGTGCTCTTTGTAGCAACAACAGTCCTGATATATTTGCTTTCCTGAAGCCTTCTAGGAAATCCCTGCTTAGCAGCAAATAACGCCTTGTCACTTTTACTGAAGGTACATCCTGTCAATGCTGTGCATGCAAAACTGCCACAAACTTCAGTGGTGTTCCAGGGTAAGGCCTGCAACAAAGAGTAATGATCTTTAAGAATGTGGGTAATTTTTTTTCAATCGAGTGCCAGCAACAGTAATTAGGGAACCAAATTTTCATAGAATCATGGAATTGTTTGAGTTGGAAGGGACTCTTAAATCATCTAGACTAACTCCCCTGCAATGAATACCCACGGCTAGATCAGGTTGCTCAGAGCCTGGTCCAGACTGACTTCGGATGCCTTCAAGGACAGAGCATCCATCATCTCTCTGGCAACCTGTTCCAGTGCTTCATTACCTTTACTGTAAGCAACTTCTTCCTATTCCAGTGTATCACTACCCTCACAGTAAAATACTTCTTCCTCATATCCAATCTATCTCTCTCTTCTTTTAGTATGAAGCTATTTCCTCCTGTCCTATCATAACAGACTGCTCGAGAGTCTGCCTCCTCCTTTTTTACAGCTCCCCTTAAGATACTAAAAGATCACGTGATGCTGTAACATGATAGAAAGCACCACAATGAAAGCAGAGTAGTAAGGGCTCAGGCTGCAGCAAGTGAGGACTTGCTTGAGTACAACAGCTGTGGGCACAGAATAAAAAAAAAAAAAAAAAAAAAAGCTGCTGCTTACCTTTGGAAGGTCTCTAGCACACAGGGATTCCAGCAAAATATGCTTGCCTCCACTGCCAGCCCTGAAATGAGGGTTGGAAAGGGGTGGATCCTGGCTCCACCACTCCCAGTCACTCGGCTGCATTGCATGCACCTGAGTTCCCCTAGGTTGGCCCTGCCTTCCCACCAGGTGCCGCATCAATGTTTAAAGTCCTGGCATTTCCCCTACAAACTGTTACTTTACATACCAAAACTAATTTCCCATTAAAGAGAAAGAAAAATGACAAGTTATTGTTGATTTAACGATACAAAAGATAGGCTTCCAAAATATGAGACTATGCATGATCCTAGGTTAAACAACAAAATTGCAGCCTTGTATGCAGTTAATTCCACAGTGCTATGGCAGGTTTTTTTTTTCTGAGTATGTTCATCTGAACGCGACAGAAGGAGGTGACTGACAAAGCTCTTAACCTCTCTGGTGCTCAGGAGATGAATTTGTTAGCAAATTCTTTTCCACTGGCATCTCTGACAGTTACAAATAAAGCACAAGCTGAACTCCCACATATACATGTCTAAAAAGCTAAAGAGAAAGTCAGATAAGTTCTACACTACTAAAATGTTGTACAATCAAAGCAAAAAGACCTGTTCCAGTAGTACCACTGTGTCTGAGAGTCTAATACTGCTGGTAGACATACTGCTGAGCATCAACACTACAGAATATCTTTCAAATTTCTAAAAGATGCTGCAGTACCATTTTCAATCTACACTGCATGAGTTTTAGTCAAAAGAAAGTACAGAGCATGTAGAGAGAAGGAAAAGTTTCAGCAACAGCTGAAGTAGTGCCTCAAATCTTTTAAGTTCTATCAACTTAACACAGAACATAAGAGCCATACAATTCCAACAGAAATGCTTTGTTGGTGTCATATCTGATGCATCATCAGATATCACATATGTTTTAATTTAGGAATCACTAATGTTACCAAAATACAGAGATGAAAAACAGGTTTTGTTGTCTGAATGTCAATCAGACAGGCCTCTTACTTCAGCACATTTAATACAACACTAAGAGCAAACATAAAGGTCATTTTGCAGTGACTTTCTCAGCAAAACTATACGTGGTTCTAAGGTTATACTCTAACGCATAGCATTATAAAGAAATCACCATTAACAGAAATTTAAAAATTAATTGTAGTTCATTAGAAAGTTAAACTTCAAGCTCTGAAAAAAACAACAGCAACAAAAAGTCTGTTTCTTACCATCACTGGTATCGTCCCTTATTTCACTTTATTACTGTCCTTTTTCTGACCCAAAGTAATCCCTTTGTAGCATAGTTTAATTCATACCCTACAGCAGTAGCTATTAAGACTGCTTGCCATTACTACTGCCACCATCTCCGTGAGCCATCTCTCTTTATACACTCAGAGAATGAAGAATGAGAAATGGGTTGTGAACTATGAACTGTCTACAGTCAAGAATGCTTCAGATCCAGCAAAAGAATAGTTGCAGAAAATGCTTAAAAGATGTGCAGAGGGCACAGCAAATCTGTTCTCAAAGTACAAGAATCACCTGGCACCTGATAAAAATGGGCCTAAGTTTTAGGAAACTAAGTGTTTTCCTCCATTTACACTAAAACAGTTTTTTTACTAGAAAACCTTTTTAAATTTTCAAAAAGTAACTAAATCAATTAATGGACCCCGAATTCAGAAATAATTACAGAATCACAGAATCTTAGGGGTTGGAAGGGACCTCCAGAGATCATCGAGTCCAACCCCCCTGCCAAAGCAGGATCCCTACACCAGGTCGCACAAGTAGGTGTCCGGGCGGGTCTTGAATATCTCCAGAGAAGGAGACTCCACAGCCTCCCTGGGCAGCCTATCCAGGTTCCTATCCAGGTTCACGCAGACCTCAGATTAAGCTAATGTTGATCACTCCTACAGAAGTAGCAGTAGCTTCAGATCAACTTTCCATGTTCTTTGCCATATTTCCCTCTGTATCCAAAAAGCAAAGCTTTCAAGGTTCTATCTTGTGCTAATATTCTTCAATTCTATGATCCAATAATTTTACAATGGGTTTATTAAAAACTGCTGTTCACTATAAGCTAAACAACAGCAAGCTTTCTTTATTAAAGATCAAATGTTTTGCCATCTGCTTTGACCTTTCATGTTTCTTTTTTTTTTTCCCCCATGTTTTCACAAATAACTTGGTTTAATGAAAACTGTATTACTTTACTATGTATACTGCACTATTTTGTACTGTAAAAGCTCAAAGGAACTAATGCAAGGTAAAATCAGTTATCATTTCTGTGATGTACATTTAAAGCTTCTTGCACTTCCCATTAATGGCATCTCTTTTTACACTCAAAACCTTGTTAATATCAAAGGGGAACATATGAATCTAATACCTTATTATTATGAAGTCTTAATAATCTAGCTCAAATACAAGTAAGAGCTATTATTATTTCACTCGGAATGCATCTTAACTGCTAGACACAGAAAAGCCTCAAGAGTAATTCATTTAAGATCTATGCAGAGAAACACTTACTGGTATCTACTTTATTTTCTGTGGGGTTTCTCTGGCTCACACCTGTGGTGCCTTCCAGCATCCAAAGGCTGATGCAGCCAACTTCATACAGCAGGAGAGGTGAGTGGAGGGGCACAGAAACATTGGTGTGTTTTCTGTGCAGCGGCAAGGATGTAGGTCTTCTCAGCACCAGGCCCCAAACAAAACCCACAAATATCCTCACTTCAGCTTCTATGATTTTCCTGAAAGGAGGAGGAAAAGACAAAGAGCTGTCAGAGAGAGTCCAGATGAGGGCCACAAAGATGATCAGGGAGCTGAACACCTCCCCTTCAAGACAGGCTGAGGTTCCTTCCTGAGTAGTAGATGCTCACAAACATTATTAAAAAATAAAAACATATATATTTTTAAGGAATTTTTCCCAGTGACACCTCCCATCTCTGCCCCTACAGCAAAAATCCCTCTGTGCTCCGAGATATCATTACTGAGGGAAAAGGTGAAAAAAGCTGATACCTGATGGAGGAAGGATACAATTTATTTGTCAACACAGGATGTTCTTGTTTTATAGACCTGCTTGTATTTTATAACTCCTTTACACACCGTGGTTCGAAATGCTCACCTAATGGCTATGCCTTGCAGTTTGTGTTTGCTAAATTCGTTTCATTCCATCCTTGCCTACATTCTTTCTCATTGTAACAGTGGTATAAAATGGGGCTGTGGAGGTGATCCGATGATGGACACAGAACGTAAGGTGCTCAGCATCAGCTGTGAGGAAAAGGTTCCCTTCAGGGAATCCTCTGCCAGGCATGTCAGCCAGGCAAAGGGACTGCCTGGAGAGAGACACCCAGGATCCGAGGGAAGCGGCTGTGGTACTGATGGTGCTTAGCACAGGCGTCCAACCTGGAGATCAGAACAGAGTTGGAAAAATTAACACAGGATTTTACTATTTTTTCAAGTGCTTTGTTCAAACTATCTATTTATGAAATGCAAGTTTATCTAAGAGCCATGACTGGTAAGTAGGTTTAGGCTGTGCTGAAGCTGTTATTGGAAAGGTGGAGAAAAATAATGTTTATGCCTTGGAAGATATACTTCAGGGCATTCATTTTCTAGTTTGAAGTTTACTTTTGTTTTTAGTTTGTTTGAAGTACCTGGAGAAATATAGTGTCAGACAGTTGAGATTAAAAAGACATTAATAGTATGTTAATTGATTTGCAATTGCATACAGTTCCTGCTTGCCCTAATAGAATTGGCTACATAACCCCAGAATAATGATGCTAATGATCCACTAAAGGGATTTTTCAGGCTAACATGACATCATCACAGAGGTTCTCCTCATCATACTATAAGATAGTAATTTTTTCACGGTATATAATATTAGTAATTATATTCCTTCAGTTCCATCACTCTTTCTATTGCCTGTGATTATGATCCATCACAGATCAGTTTACAGAACTATGAGTGAAGGTAGAGAGGAACGACTGGAGAACTGTTCCCGGTCTTAGATCTCTATTTTATGTTACATTCTGAAGGGGAAAAATTCAGATAGTTTAGGAGGCATCTACTCTGTTTCATGGATATGACTGATTCTTCAGGGACTTCCAGATGCAAAAATTGCAATGATAACTAGATGGATGAAAATAAATGCAGAGGCACGTGGAATTCCTGACATCAACTGAATTTAAACTGACAGAACAGATTTCCTTCTCATTTGTTTTGTTCAAAACAGTAGTCCTTACTAGCACTTTTTAGAAGGCACTCAGTAAATATAGAAGACTGAAGAAATATTGTCTACTTTGGCTTTTCTTGCAATACATAAATACAAAAATAAATAAAGAAGTCTGGTCCTGTAAATAAAAGCAGGGTTATAATCTGAAAAAAGAACAATTTTTCCCAGGATATATAATAAAATAAAACATCCATTCTTCCATTCATCTTTTCTTAGCAATAATCTATCATTACTCATGGAATGCATTTACCTATCAAAAGTGTAAATTGATTAAACCCACAAATACTTCCCAGAACTCCAAACTCAGTAACTGCTATTTAGTGATCCCCATGAGAATGCCTGGAAGTATTACATCTGAAAGTTAAGGTGACATCCAAAGTTACTGGATGCTTCAGCAGCTGATATAGAAATGCTGTTCAGCTCCCCAGCCATCTTCTCTAGACCGTGCCTCTAACAAGAACAGTACACTTGTACACATAGTTGAACTACAATAGGACAGGACAGAGATTAAAGTAATGAAGCATAGAGCAGTATCTCTCTTGTAACATACATTAAACATGGAATGGAATATAAAGGGAAATGAGATGAATTTTGTACAGCTCACCTTAACAAAGTTGTGTCCTGATGGAAATTTATTTGAATATTAAAAGCATGTATAAACATTGTCTGAACTTACTCTCGGTTCCTAATTCAAGGCAGTGGTACACTGTCCTGGGTCTGTTAGTTCTGAGTGCTCATATACATTCTCCCTTTCATCCAGCTGGCTGTTGCTTTGTATCTTCTAAGTGCTTAACAGCAAATTTTACAGACAATAAGAGTTACATTTTAGCACCTTTCCAAACATCTGCCAGATGTTTGGCAGTTCCAGTCTGACTGGGTTTTGAATTTCATGCTATTCTAGTGGATTCCACTATGTTTTATTAAATTAAGTGGAACACCATGTTTTTCCCAGCCCCTTGTTTTCCTTTGGTCTGTAGTCCGCCTGAGCAGGGGAGGTCAGCATGTTTGTTCCAATAAGTCTTATTTCTCTTTTAATGCATGCCTCTCTTCAAACTTTAATTTAACGTGTAATTTAAGTCCCTAATTCAGATCTAGAGCCCACATGCCTAACTGTCAGGGCCCCAGGGCCCTAACGAGGCCTGGCTGTGCTAACAAAGCAGCGATGTCCCGGTGCCGTGGGGCTGTGGCTGCCCAGGCAGAGCTGTGTGTTATCAGGAGTTCAGGGCAGGGTCTGCCCCAAAGCCCTTAAGGTCCACTGAAGGCTGCTGGCAGCTGTGATGGAGTTCCTGGGGTTTTCTACCTCTAGCATTAGGAGGGGGCTTTGTTTATTAGCCCAGCTGTAGTGTTGCTGAGGCTGAAAAGCAACACAAGGGGCCGTTTTTAAAATGAAACCTTGGGATTCATTTAATATTTCCTGTTGTTTTCATTTTGACACTGCAGTGACACTTCTTGCGGCAAGGATACCGTCATGGAGATATGGTGGGACAGCTTGCATGACTGGAATGTT